AAAGGATGGAGGCCATTATTCAGATTTACCTAGTGAGCCAAATAGACTGCCTTTCATTCTTGAATGTCCTAGTTAGCCCCTTTGAGCTGATAGCCTTTCTTTGATCAACCTCAATACAAGCTTTTCTAGATAAACCATTTTACCTATTCAAATAGAAAAGAGGCAAATTGAGTTAAATCAAAGATAAGTTTTAAAACTAAGTTTGGGATAACATCATGTTTCTAGTGCATTACTTGAGGACAAGCAATGTTCTAAGTTTGGGGTAGAAAAGGATTGAGAAAAGGATTGAAATGAAATAAGAAAGTAAGAAAAAGTCATGTAGAGAAAATATGAAAAAGAAGTAAAAAGCTGCAAGTAAAAATAGAAAAATGAAAAAGAAGTAAAAAGAAATCAGAAAATCAAAAAGGAAAAGAAAATTGGTAGATAATTCTACAAAAATTTAAACTCTGATTGAAAGTTGATTAAGAATAGAAACAGTTGATGCAGCCCTTACTAAGTTTAAAAGCTTATCTACTCAATTTGCATCTTTTTCTGTTTGAAATTAGTTGCATTGATATCCTGAATTCATTGAAATCATACCTGTCCCTGAGCCTTAATATTACCTAAAAAGTCCTCTTGATATGTGATTAATTGTAAATTTGCAAAGGAGGTAGAGAATATAGGCAAGCTTATGGCAGAGTTTGATGAATTTGGTGATACTGAGAGCAAACACAAGCTTAAACACTGATTGAGTTAGAGAAACACTTTTTGAGAGCTGTGATAATATTTCTCAACTCTGTTTGCATGTAGCTTTAATGATTTGCTTGATTGAAATGAATGAGATTGTGCAGCAAACAGATAATTCAAGTGTGACTATCATGATGAAGAGTTGGTGAATGACTTAGTGAGAAAATAATTAGAATGCATTGAAGTAAAATGGATTTTTAATCTGAATTTTTCTGAAAAATGTAAAAAAAATTTGGATTTCAATTAATAAGAATTTACACCTTTGATATGTTCTAATTTGCTTGAGGACAAGCAAAAATTCAAGTTTGGGGTAGTGATGAATCCATATTTTACTAGTATTTTGATAAATCCATATTTTTATTGATATTTTAGCATAATTCTAACTCATTTGATAAGGAAAATATATGAAGAAAATAGAAAAACTCAGAAAAAGAGAATGATTTGAAGTTTTCTTTCAATTTGTAGTTATCTTAGCAATTGTGGAATTTTTGCTTAGGAATTAAGTTTTTAATCTTGTTTTTGAAGGAATAATTCGAGCAACGTTCATGTAAATGGAGGCTTGATGACAAGGAAGAGGAAAGTAGTAAGTCTGGACTCCAAAACACAAGAACAAGGAAATGCAGACTGGGCGTGATCACTATTGTCAGTGAAAGTGATCACTCCAGAGTTTAAAGAAGAAGTGAAGCTTGGGCGTTATCACTTTTATCAGTAAAAGTGAGCGTTCCAAAGAGGCAAAATATCAGGAAAGCTCTGCGTAACCACTATTGTAATCAAAAGTGATCGTTCCAGAGAGCCTTCAACTTGGCGAGTTACGCGTAGTCACTTTTATTCATAAGAGTGATCACGCGCAACTACTTGAGGTTTGCGGTGACACTTTTACCAGCAAGAGTAATAGTTCCAGAGAGCTCTCACATCAGCAAAGTTGCGCGTGGCTACTTTTTCTCATAAAAGTGTTAACACACAACCAACTAACCTTCTACGTAGCTACTATTTTTTATAAAAGTGATAATGCGTAAATCTGGGAATTTCTATAAATACCAGATGCGCCCAAATTTTCAGGGAGTTCAGTTTTATTTTCTGTTTTTCTGTTAGATTGTCGTTGAGAGAGATTGAGAGAGAAGATTAGGGTCAAGTCTTGAAGCTTCCACAAAGAGGAATTGGATTGGAGCTTCCGGCCATGGCTTTTTGGAGTTCTTCTTCTTCTTCTTCTTCTTTCTCTTTCTCTTCTCTCATGTTTGAGTAGTTTTCTTGTAGTTAGGGGTTTATGGAACTCAAATTGATGTATTGATTTGACTCTTGCTTCTGAATTTTGAGTTCTTGGATTAATTGAATTGTGAATTTTGCTTTTCTTGCAATCTATGAATGGAAATTCGTATGATTCATCAAAGAGGAACAATTACCAATGGAAGTTGGATTTGATTCTCCAATCTGAGTTAGCAATCAAAATTTGGGGATTTCTTAGGGATAAGGAGACGTAATTCTGCAATCTTAAGGTTCTAAGTCTTAATGCAACTTGAAATTAAACTTCACCTAAGGGATTACGGTGGTTTAGTTGCTTGTTATGGTCAATGAGTTAAGGGATTAACCTTTGGCTATTGATATGTTAAACTGATTGTCAATTAACCAAGTTCTTGAATTTTCAGAAGCATAATTGAATTAATATTGACATGCTTGTGAAGTAAATTCCTAACTACCTTTCAATCCATTTCTAATCTCACATTGCATTCATTGATCTGCTTTTCTGCACATTCTTCTTTACTCTTAATTGCTTTGGTTTATTGCTTTGGTATGTTACAACTCTTTTCCTAAATTCGTATGGCTCAAATGGTTACAATTTTGTGAATTGATACTTGAAATCTAAATTTCCTGTGGAGACGATATCCTGTTCTTAAAAATTACTCATTACTTGCTGCAATACTAGTGCACTTGCTAGTTTTTAGATTGCAACCAACATATTTTACAATATTTTTTAGTGCAATTAATAAAGAAAACATGCTAGAAATAGTAGAAAACCCTTAAAAAAATAATAAAATGTTGCATGTCACTTTTAAACATAGTTATTTTAAAATTCATTGATTTTCTATGTAAAAAGTGATAATTCAAGTATACTGTTGTAGGGAATTCTGAGCTAAGTTCATGAGGATTGGATGATCAAAGGAAAAATAGAAGAAAAGTAGCAAAAATTAGAGGAAAGAAGTTAATAATTGAAGAACAGCCTCTAAGTAATCACTTTCGCTGGTGAAAGTGATCACTCCAGAATCATAAAATGAAGAAGAGTTTCTGCTGATCGTTCTAGAGAGGTTGCATTGAGAAGAGCTTCTGCGTAATCACTTTTTCTAGAAAAAGTGAGCGTTCCAAAGAGTCCTCCAAGAAGATTTGCTACGCGTGTTCACTATTATCCACAAAAGTGAACACGCGCAAGAAGGTAGTCTCTGCGTGCTCAGTATTTCTAGCAAAAGGGAACACGCGCATGACATTAGTAAGGGAAGCTTCTACGTGGCTACTATTTTCAACAAAAGTAAACACTTTGAAGTGCGCGTGGCTACTATCACCAACAAAAGTGATCACGCCAGTAGAGCGGGAATTCTATAAAAGACAGTTAGCTCAGGAATTTAAAAAAAAAAAAAAGAAAAAGAAATTTTTGGTTCATTTTTCATTCTCCGTTTTGTTTTTGTTGTTGAGAGAGTCTGAGAGGGAGATTGAAGACAAACACCAAGCTTCATTTCTTGAAGGATCAGATTAGAGATTGGCTTGAAGATGTTTCTTCTTTGTTCATTCTCTTCTTCTCTTCTCTTTTTGTAATGTTTGCTTAAACTCTTTGTGGTTAGGAACTGTGAATCTGAAATAGAAATGTTGAATTGATTTTGGATCTGAACTTTGAGTTTTGGATTGGATTGAGTGATTGATTATGCTATTAAAGTAGTGATTGAATGGAAATTTGATCAACTAATCATAAAGGAACTCTTATTAATTGGAATTGAATTTGTTTCTCAGATCTGAATTAATTGCCAAGGTTATTGGTTTGTTAGGGATAAGATATCTCAATCTTGCAATCTTTTGGTTTCTCAAACTTAATGCAGCATTTGATTGGATTAGATCTAAGGGATTAGAGTGATTTGATTAGATGCTAGATTCATTGAGGCAAGGGATTGTCCTTTGATTAATATAATGTGAAATTGATTGTCATTCTATCTAAATGCTTGAAAGTTCAGAACTTTATTGATTCAATGTTGAAGTTTTGGTGAAACAATTTCCTAGCTACTCTTTCTACATCTGTTTACTATATACTTTTACGCTAACTGTTCTGTTTTACTTTCTAATTTCGTTTTTGATACATTCATACCAAATCCATCTGAAATTTGTAAAGCTCAACCAATTGTGATCTTGTGAAGTGGTAATTGAGAACTTTATTCCCTGAGGACGATACTTGGAACTCAATTTGATTCTAAGATTTTTTATAACTTGCTACAACAACACTAGTACACTTGCTAGTCAGTTTACTTACAGTGCAACAGTAGTTGTAAAAGTAACAAGACTCCATATTCTGAACTCTTAACTTCTATTTATAATATTTTTTCCGCCTTTTCCACTTCCACACTTTAATCTCTGAGGATTATAGCATGAAAGGTCTTCTAGAAGCTTCTATAACTGAATTAGGAACTTCAATCGTCCAAAGTTAACATTTAGAAGTGATATTTAAAATTTTGTTACTTTTGCATGGACACTTTAAGTTGTTAGAGTGTCCACGCATAAGTGTTCTACATGGAAAAGTCTCACGCGTAGCTACTCTCAGCGCTTGGAGTGGATACACATTAACTGCGTAGCTACTCTAAACACTTGAAGTGGCTACGCGTATTGTGCATAAGTGAATTAGCCTTGGGTGTAGCTACTCTAAACACTTGAAGTAGCTACTCTCTTGATCTTCATGGATTTTCTTCTTCAAAGTGTTAACTCTATGTACTTAGAGTGGTTACGCCCTACACATAACACTTGATTCTTCATCTTTAAAGCTCAATCCTCTACTTTCTTCACTTCAATCTTCAACTCAAATTCTCATCTCAAGCTTCTACACAAGGATTAAGTCATTTTAAGTCAAATTGTTCAAAATTGGACCAAAAATTTAATATTCTAAACTATTTATACAATTATGAATATTAATGCAATTTTTATGATATTTTCAAGTTTATTTACTATTTAACTCTTTATTTACTAACAAAAACTAGGCTAAAAATATAGTAAAATGTGGATTTATCACTTATCGGACACCACTAGGCATGTCTCCATTTTGTGTGGTGTTTGGCAAAGTATGCCACCGTCCAGTGGAAATTAAGCATAAATCATATTGGACAATGAAGAGTTATAACTTGACACTTGAGCAGGCTAGAAAAGAAAGGAAGCTTCAACTTCAGGAGCTTGATGAGATACGCTTGCAAGCCTATGAGAACACTAGAATGTATAAAGAGAAAGCCAAAAAATTCCATGACACAAAAATTCTAAGGAAGGAGTTCTCTGAAGGACAGAAAGTGTTATTGTTCAACTCTCGTTTGAAACTGATTGCAGGTAAGCTTCGATCTAGAAGGGATGAACCTTTTGTGATTACTAATGTTTTTCCCCATGGTGCAGTTGAAATTAAGGATAAAGCTACCAACAGAGTTTTCAAAGTTAATGGTCAGCAGCTAAAACTATTCGAGGAAAGCAAACCTATAAAGAAGGCTCAAAACATAGTTGACGTATCCTTAGTGGAGCCTATTCTGATGGAGGAAGTCTACATAGGCACTTGAAGCATTCTTTCCTCTTATTTTGTTCCTTTTCATTATACTTTCCTTTAGTTTTCCATGCATGTCTTTTCACTTTATTTGAATTGTTTTCATATGTTTTTCATTTTCTATCCATTCCCACATTGCGGACAACGTTTGGTTCAAGTGTGGGAGGAGTGTGTTAGTCTACACTTTTGTTTGTATTGGCTTAGAATTCTTGTTTTAGTTAGTATAAAGTCTTCCTTTGCATATTTTTCATTGGATTCCTTTGCTTTTAGATTTCATTTGTGTAAGCAACTTTTTATTTGTCATACTTAGTTGGATTTGAATAAACATGATAGATTTGTTGCTTGCATTTGAGTTTAGCTAGTTTTTCATGATAATTAGATTTTGGATCAATGATTGGTAAAATAATTACCTTAGTAAGATTTGAGCTTATTTTCTTTCTTGTGTGATTCACTCATGTTTGTAGATATTCTAGAACTTGACTTGACTCTTTTTGAGATTATTTGTTCACATGCATTTTTTATATGACTTAGGCCTCTTTTCACATTTTAGATACTTAGCCAAATCGACTCACCTTGCATTTTATTTCACTTGTTTACCCCTTTGAGCCTTGTTAACCCTTTCTTGATGATTTTGCAGCGCATTACAAGCCATGTGACCTGAAAAACTATGATTCACCCAACCTTGGAGATTAGATGAGCTTTGGAATTGTTTTGGGAGTTAGTTAAAAATAAGTATGGGGGTATTGTGTTACATTGTGCCTTATTTGAGAAAAATTTGATGCATTATTAGTTCATTGGAAAAGTAGCTTAAAACAAAATGTTGTGTATAAAAAAAAATATAAAAAAAAACTTTTTTTGTTTAAAAAATGAAAAAAAAATGGAATTTAGTTGTTGAATTTTAGGTATCTTTGTACTTGTTTTTAACTCATTCCCCAATGCTCTTCTTTTTCTTGGTTTATCTTCTTTTATCCCACCTTTCCTTAGCCATATTACAAGCCTAATAAAAGTCTTATCGATCTTTTGATGCATGTAACGCCCTGAGTTTTGTAATTATATTTTGTTTATTGATATAGATATGTTGATTACTATTTGAATGTGTATTTGATGTGAACGTGTATATGTGTGATGATGTGGGATCGTGTTTGAGCATGATTGTTGATGTTTGACTTGTTGGGTTGGAAATTGATTTCAAAATAGGTTAAGTGTGTGTTGCAAGGACATTCTCTTTGTAGCAAAAGGATTCTCACTGTAGCGAGAAGGCCCTTGGCAAGTTGGGTGATTCTGTTGCATCCTGGCTAAAGCGAGAGGCTCCTCGCTGTAGCGAGAAGGCGACAGAAAAAGGTGCATTTCTAGGTTGCAGCCTCATTGTAGCTAAAGGGCCTCACTGTAGCAAGATTGTACAAAAATCAGAGTGCAGTTTCCTCTAATATTCTCGTTGTACCGAGAAGGGGTGTCGCTGTAGCGAGAATATCGTGACCAGAAGGGTATTTGGGTTAAGGTTCGAGGAAATGTATTCTTCACTTTTCCTTTTCCTTCTCCCACGATTCTCTCGACCCCAAACCCTTTTCCACTGATTAAATTGCCTCCAAATCTATTCGTGAGTAAGATTAAAGGTTGGAATCGTGTTTGGGTTATTTGGAGGTAAGTTTTATGGGCTAGGGTTTCATTCCTTTGTCCCTTTCTTCGTTTTCTTAAATTCTCGTGGAAATTTTGTGTGAAATATGATACAATAGTTATTGGGGATGTGTGTGATGAAATGAATTTTGATTGACATGGGATTGTGATGGAATTATGGTGTGTTTAAGTGTAATGTGTGAATGGCATGTTGGTTATGTTTGAATATGTTGAAAAACTATGAATGGTTCAGCGATACACTGGGAATGTGGAAGATTGGAGTAGTAGAAATACCTTGGGGAAGAGAGGATGGTGGTGACACCAACAGTGAGCGTGGGTGCACCACAGGCCACACACTTTCCTCCAGACTTGGCCTCTGACTAACACCTTTGCTTGGAGGCTCAGTACCGCACACGTTATATCCGTGGATAGAGAGTTATCCAGCAACCATCTCTGGTGTGAACTAAGTAAGTCCCTGAGGTTGAGGGCATCAGGAATCTGTGATCACAGTGCCACAGTGAGCATGGCTAATGTGCAGTAAGCGCACGTGTGTGTGGATTATTTGATGGTGTAGTGAGCGCATCTGTGTGTGAATGAGAACGGAATGTTGAAATTATTGCTTTGTGCCTATTTGATGCACAATTGAGTTATGTTAATAAATGTGTGAAATGTGCAAGGTGAGTCTCTATGCTTGTGTGTGATAGCGTAGAGTACTCACCCTTACGTTTATTTTTCAGGTGACCAAGATGATCAGCATCAGACTCAGTGAACAGGAGGGATGAAACTGCTATAGGACTTAGGAAATTGATTTTTGAAATTTGATGTATTTAATTTGGTCTTGTAGCACTTATTTAATGCAAACTTGTAACCCTCCCTTGTTTTTGAAATACCTTAATGAACTATGAATTAGGAACTAATTAAATGTAATTTTATTTACTCCCATTTGTTGCAAAAATTTATTTATTTAGAAAATTTAAATTAAGGTGTTACAATGCATGTGTTTCAAATAGTGGAAATTAGAGGCTATTCAAGCCTATGGTTGAAATGCTTACTTTCATAATGTGCTTTGAGTGAAAATGTTACCCTATACACTTGAGAGAATGAGTGATACACATATCCTTGAGAGAATTTTTACCAATTGTGATCCATGATTTAATTAGATTGAAGTTCTTCTTTACTTTTATGTTTGGAACATATTCTTGACTATTTTTTTATTCTTTCATACTTTGATGAATTCATTTTCTTTCTTGCTCACATCACTTTCACTTTAGGATTCATTGAAAAATTTTGCTTTGTTTTGTTTTGTTTTGTTGTCTTTTCCTTTCTTTTGCTTGGGAGTGCAAAAGCTTAAATGTGGGGGTATTTGATAACTCATATTTTGTACTCGCATTTATAGTCTTATTTCATCTTCCAAAATATCTTTTCCTTCGTTATTTCTTTTAATTGCATGTTTTTGCATTTATTGCATTAAATTGGAATTTTTATAAATACTTATTTTCTTTACTTTATATTTCATATTTTTCTGTATTCTGACCTTTGTCTACTATTTCTGCCATAACATTTTTTGTAGATTTCCTTTTTGGCTGATTCTTTTTTCAACAGATTCCTGACTTCATGGGCTTTAATTTGGACATCTGGATCGTGCTTTTTAGAGTTTAGAGTTATTTTTTTTATTAATTTTTATTTTCAGACTTAAAACATACCTTTTATATTTAGGGTTTTTATTGTAATTACTCGCGTCACAGCCATGCCCATTTATTTCTGTCTCATTTAAGACCAGCATATATAAGGGTCAAAAGGTTGACTTTGAACCTCTCTCTTTTCATAATTTTCATTTTTGTAATACTTTTCCACTTTTGAGAGAAAACATTTTTCGTTACCGTTTACTTGCCTCTTTTTCGGATTCTGTTGTGATTTTCAAATTTTCTTTTCTCACACGGTTGAATCTTGAATCATCTTATCTTAAGTGTGGATTGCGAGACCAATTGATCGCTCTGAGTTTGTCTTTTCACTTTCTCACATTTCTTGATCAAGATTTGTGCATATATAATTCAATTGAGTTTGATTTGTATTCTTGAGTGTAAAATTGATCAATTGATTATTTTTCCATTTGAGATTTAGGAAAATTTAGTATAGTAATCCTTGTCATTCTTGGTTTTAATTTGTGTTCATTTTAATTGTTTTCATATGCGTTCATTTTAATCTGCGTTTGTTTTTCTCTTGATTCATTTTCGTTTTCTGAGTTTCAATTCATTTTCGTTTTTCTTTTCATTTTTGTTTTCTTTTTTTCTGGGTCTCAATTCGTTTTCTTTTTTTTTTTCTGGGTTTTGATTTACTGATTTAATTCAATTTCAATTCAATTGTTGATTTAATACATTCTCCAGTATTCTTGCAATTTAATTTTTGTTGCCAATTCATATTTCTAATTGTCATTGTTTCTTATTCACATTAATGCATTTCAATTCCAATTTACACTTCTGTTTAAATTCTTTAAACACTACAAAACCCCTAATCTAACCATTGTTGTATGTTTAAAACTAAAAACAGAATGAATTTGTGTCCTTGTGAGATGACCTAGGTTTGCTCTCTATATTGCAAAATTATTTGAGGAATCTAGTTTTGTTTGAAATTATTATGACATGGTTGTCACACCCCCAATCTCTCTCTCTCTCTCTCTAACTCTCCTAAGAAGTGAAAATGGAATGGAAAAGAAAAAATGGCAAAAGATCCCTGAATTTCTGATCTACACATGTATTTATATTTTTCCTACCCTTTTTGACGTTAACACTTTAAATGGTTAAAATGTACACGTAGAAGGTCTTCTGGAATCTTCCTGGGTTGAGGTGAGCACTTTAAACGCTTAAGGGCAACACTTGAAGTGATTCTATAAAACTTTATGCATTAAAACTTTGAACATTTGAAGTGTTAACGCGCAAGCTTCCTTCAGTCAGAACTCCCTGAAGTGAACACTTTGAAAGCTAAAAATGGTAACGCCTAGCTGTTTATAGTGGACATGTTAACTCTAAGCGTTTGAAGTGTTAACGTGCGTGCCTTTCTGGGGAATTAACCCTGCACGTGATAACTCTAAGCACTTGAAGTGTTAATGCACAACTTTCTCTTGTGATTTAAGCCTGCGCGTGATAACTCTGAGCACTTGAAGTATTAACGCGCAACCTTCTCTTGTGATCCTTGTATTTTTGCAGCTAGAGTGTTCACTTTGAACACTCAAAGTGCTAACGTACAAGGTCTTCTTGATTTTTCACATCTGAAGTGTTCACTTTGAACACTTAAGGTGTACACTTGCACTCCATTCTTGCTGAAAATACTCTAGAGTTGTCACTTTATGCGCCCAGAGTGATAGCTTTCAGACTACATCAATTGATTTTGCACTTTTTAAGTCCA